GTTCTGGCTGTCAGTGGACGTTTAGATAATGGCCAGATTGGACATCTTTATTCACGTCATTTATGGACCATTTCTGGATGTCAACGGACGTCCAGATTATAGTCAGTATGAACGTCTTTTCTCAACTAGTTCTGGCTGTCAGTGGACGTTTAGATAATGGCCAGATTGGACATCTTTATTCACGTCATTTATGGACCATTTCTGGATGTCAACGGACGTCCAGATTATAGTCAGTATGAACGTCTTTTCTCAACTAGTTCTGGCTGTCAGTGGACGTTTAGATAATGGCCAGATTGGACATCTTTATTCACGTCATTTATGGACTATTTCTGGATGTCAACGGACGTCCAGATTATAGTCAGTATGAACGTCTTTTCTCAACTAGTTCTGGCTGTCAGTGGACGTTTAGATAATGGCCAGATTGGACATCTTTATTCACGTCATTTATGGACCATTTCTGGATGTCAACGGACGTCCAGATTATAGTCAGTATGAACGTCTTTTCTCAACTAGTTCTGGCTGTCAGTGGACGTTTAGATAATGGCCAGATTGGACATCTTTATTCACGTCATTTATGGACCATTTCTGGATGTCAACGGACGTCCAGATTATAGTCAGTATGAACGTCTTTTCTCAACTAGTTCTGGCTGTCAGTGGACGTTTAGATAATGGCCAGATTGGACATCTTTATTCACGTCATTTATGGACCATTTCTGGATGTCAACGGACGTCCAGATTATAGTCAGTATGAACGTCTTTTCTCAACTAGTTCTGGCTGTCAGTGGACGTTTAGATAATGGCCAGATTGGACATCTTTATTCACGTCATTTATGGACCATTTCTGGATGTCAACGGACGTCCAGATTATAGTCAGTATGAACGTCTTTTCTCAACTAGTTCTGGCTGTCAGTGGACGTTTAGATAATGGCCAGATTGGACATCTTTATTCACGTCATTTATGGACTATTTCTGGATGTCAACGGACGTCCAGATTATAGTCAGTATGAACGTCTTTTCTCAACTAGTTCTGGCTGTCAGTGGACGTTTAGATTATGGCCAGATTGGACATATTTTTTTAAGTCATTCATCGACTAATTCTGGATGTCACCGGACGTCCAGATTATAGCCAGTATGAACGTCTTTTCTCAACTAGTTCTGGCTGTCAGTGGACGTTTAGATTATAGCCAGATTGGACATAATTTCTCATTGTCATTAATCAACTAATTCTGGATGTCAATGGACGTTCAGATTATGGCCTGGACGGACGGACGTGATATCAACCTGTTTTGTATGTCCACAGACGTCGCTTGCTCAGTGGGGTCAGTGTTTCAACCACAGAAAGACGTCAATAAAACAATATAACAGCACATTTACCTCAGAAAAGCCATTCAATAACCATAAACTCGATAAAAATAAGGAGCGTTTTGATATATTTATATATATGAATCCATATTGAATCTGGTCCATATTGAATTTGTGTGAGTAACCAGCCCTAGTGTGAATCCTGAATGCTCTCTGTCTTTCTCTTGCTTTGCTGAACTCACACTCCAAATCCTGGAGGAAATCCTAGCAAATCTTGGTTCTGAAAAGCCTGAAGTGTTTTTGATCTGTTTGGCTGTCTCCCTCTCATGATTATGATTATGTGTGTGTGTCTGATTACTGCGCCTCAGGGTTTATTGAGGCCCGTCCCTCGTGTCAGAGCGTCAGTTTCCCCTTCAGTCATTAGTGTGCTGAATATAATCCAAGCAGACGCTTCTCAGCACTGCAGGAACCAGCAAAAATACATGCCAATCATTCAAAATATTTATCATCCAAACTCAAATGACATTGTATCCTGCTCTGCTGTGTGTTGGTGTGTTTTCTGAGATATTTCACAGGAAATCATCTATGGTACGGTACGCTCTCAATGGTGTGTTTTTCTACTGAATCGGTTAAAGGAGTAGTTCACTTCCGAATTAAAATTTACTGATGATTTACTCGCCCCCACTTCATCTAAGATGTTAATGTGTTTCTTTCTTCGGTGGAAAGGAAATTAAGGTTTTTGAGGAACACACTCCAGGATGTTTCTCCATATAGTGACTTCAATGGGGTCCAACGGGTCGAAGGTCCAGATGTGAGTTTCAGTGCAGCTTCAAAGTCTCGACACGATCCAGCCGAGGAATAAGAGTCTGATCTAGATAAACCAGCGGACATTTATAACAAAATAAACATTTATATACTTTTATTCACTAATGCTGGTCTTGCACTCGCTGTGATGCGACACACGTTACGTAATCAGGGTTGAAAGGTCACACATGTTTATAAATGTACGGAAGGGCGAAAAACTAATTTCTCAAAACTCAAATCTCATTTTCTCCTTCAACTTCAAAATCGTCCGACATCGTTGTTTTACCTTTTATTTATTTATTTGTAAATGACGTTAGTGCTTTGTAAACACTAGGTCTGTTCTTACACCTACATCACGCTTGACCTTTCAACCTGATTGCGTAATTAAAAGTTTTGGGACACTGTTAAAACTCTGGAGAACAAGGTCATCTCCTCCCAACTTCCTACAGCCCTAAAATTAGATAATATTGTTACTACAGATAAGGTTAAGATATTAGAGAACTTTAATAAGCATTTCGCTGAAGCCGGCCACGCCTTTCATATAGATACTTGCCCTCAAGCTAGCTGTCCTACAACCACAACACCCCCGTGCCCAGCCCCCTCCACACGCTTTTCCTTTACCCTTATTCAGACAGCCATTGTACTGAAAGATTTGCAAAACCTGGACCCATACAAATCAGCTGGGCTGGATAATTTGGATCCATCTTTTCTAAAATTATCTGCAAATATTATTGCTGCCCCCATCACCAGTCTATTTAACCTCTCTCTCTTATCTTCTGAAATCCAGAGAGATTGGAAATCCGCCGCAGTCATTCCCCTGTTCAAAGGGGGAGACACTCTTGACCCCAACTGCTACAGACCAATTTCCATCCTACCCTGTCTTTCTAAAGTTTTCGAAAAACTGGTCAACAAACAAATCGTCAGTCATCTGGATTCCCACCGCATTCTTTCCACTATGCAGTCTGGTTTATGTGCTGGTCATGGCTGTACCACGGCTACCCTAAAGGTCTTGAATGACATCATAGCCACCATTGATAAAAAGCATTATTGTGCAGCCGTCTATATCGATCTGTCCAAGGCTTTTGATTCGGGTAATCACCGTGTTCTCATTGGCCGACTCAATAGCCTGGGCTTTTCCCATGACTGCCTTGCCTGGTTCTCCAACTATCTCTCCGATAGGGTCCAGCGTGTTAAATCGGAGGGCCTGTTGTCGGGACCCATGCCTGTCTCTATGGGGGTGCCACAGGGCTCGATTCTCGGGCCGACTCTATTTTCCCTCTACATCAACGATGTGGCTCTCGCTGCTGGTGACTCTCAGATCCATCTTTATCCTGTACACGTCATGCCCTTCGTTAGATACTGTGCTCAAAAATCTCCAGGAGAGTTTCAATGCCATTCAACATTCCTTCCGAAACCTTCAGTTATTACTAAATTCTGGTAAAACTAAGTTTATGCTTTTCAAGCGATCACTACCAACACCTGCCTGTCTACCTAGCATCACCATGCTGGATGGGTCTGAACTAGAATATGTTGATACATATAAATATCTAGGTGTCTTGTTAGACAGCTCTCTCTCCTTCCAGCCGTACATTAACAAATTAGATCTAAAGTTAAATCTAGAATCGGCTTTCTCTTCCGCAATAGGGCCTCCACTCATGCTGCCAAACTTGCTTTGGTGAAAATGACTATCATTCCAATGTTCGACTTTGGCGATGTCATTTATAGAACTGCCTCAAACTTTCTGCTGAAAAAACTGGACGTGATTTACCATAGCGTCATACGTTTTGTTACAAATGCCCCTTACAACACTCACCACTGCAAGCTCTATGCATTTGTCGGTTGGCTGTCATTAACTACTCTGCGTTTAACTCACTGGTACCAACTTATTTAAAAGTCTCTGCTTGGCAAAGTCCCCCTGTACTTAAGTTGTCTAGTTACCATCGCTCTACCTACTCGCAGTTTACGGTCTAGTAGGTATATCGCCTTAGTCACTACGAAAGCCTGCACAACATTCGGCCGCCAATCCTTGTAGTTTGCAGCCGCCAATGACTGGAATTGCCTTATTGGGTTTCACTGTAATTTGTAATTTGCACTCCTGTGTTCTGTGTACTTATTATGTAACTCTATGTTGTCTTGCACATTTGTTCACCTTATCTTGGCCAGGTCGCCGTTGTAAAGGAGAATTTGTTCTCAATCGGCCTACCTGGTAAAATAAAGGTTAAATAATAAATAAAAAAATGTGTGTCACATCACAGCTAGTGCAAGACCAGCATTAGTGGATAAAAGTATATAAATGTTTATTTTGTTATAAATGTCCGCTGGTTTGTCTAGATCAGGGGTGCCCAACCCTGCTCCTGCCGATCGACTGTCCTGCACAGTTTATCTCCAACCCTAATCAAACACACCTGAAGCAACCAGTTAAGGTCTTAAGGATCACTTGAAAATTAAAGGCAGGTGTGTTTAATTAGGGTTGGAGATGAACTGTGCAGGACAGTCGATCGGCAGGAGCAGGGTTGGGCACCCCTGGTCTAGATCAGACTCTTATTCCTCGGCTGGATCGTGTCGAGACTTTGAAGCTGCACTGAAACTCACATCTGGACCTTCGACCCGTTGGACCCCATTGAAGACACTATATGGAGAAACATCCTGGAACGTTTTCCTCAAAAACCTTCATTTCTTTTCCACTGCAGAAAGAAACACATGAACAACCTAGATAATGTGTGGGCGAGTAAATTATCAGGAAATTATCATTCTAAAGTGAACTACTCCTTTAATGTATGAAGGTTTGTCTGATCTTCGTCAGTCTGCTCTTCCGCACATGATCTCACAAGAGTTGAACGTGTTGATGTGTGTGAGGATCGTGTCACAGTGTGTGTGTGTGTGTGTGTCCTCAG